GTCACAGGTGCTGGCAAAACGTTAGGAAACAAAACTTCCAGAACACGGCCACACAGCCCGGAAGACCCACACCAGCCATCTCCTGGTTCTGTTTTTAAAATGATAAGTGTATAGTCTTGGGCAGTGCAGGTGGTCCTTTTTTAACAACCACTCGTTCAGTGACCATTCAAACTTGCGATGGCACTGAATGAGTGATAGTTATGACCATTCCTTGTACTTATGGCCATTGCAGCGTTCCAGAGTCACGTGATTGTGATTTGTGACCTTCCTTGCCAGCTTCTGACAAGCAAAGTCAATGGGGAAGCTGGCAGGAAGTTGCAAGTCACAGTCACGTGAGGTCCTTGCTTAATGACCCACACGGTCCTTGCTTAACAACAGCAACCAGGACTGCCGGAACTGCTGTTGCTAAGTGGCATAGTCATGTGGTTTTTCAACTTAAGACCATGTCAGTTAATGATGGCATTTCCCAATTAGTGTCGTTAAGCAAGGACTACCTATATACAAAGCTGTGAAATAAGTAAATAAATAACATCTGAACCAACTTTTTAAATTCAGGATACAGATATTCATTCATGTTAACATTGTACTAGGACAGCCTTCTCCAACCATGTGCCTTTCAAATGTGTGGATTTGAACTTTCATCAATGGCCATGTTGGCTAGGGAATCCTGGGAATTCCACCTATTTGGAGGGAGTCCATGTTCTGGAAGAATGTATTCAGGCACCCAATATTGGGTATATGTTCCAATCAAAGTGTGAATACTTGGGATGGAAATATCCCAGCACCCAAGATCCCACTGCTCCTTCCATGAGCTCATTTCTACCCATTAACTTCTGTGTATAAAATTAAAGAAATATGCAACAGCTGGAATAAAATATATAGGCTAATGACACCACCTGCCAAAAGATGTCAGCTTGATTTTACATATTAGCTATAATGGAAGGAAGGTAAATTAGACCTAAAGTCTGCTTCCACATCTGGCAAATAGAGTAGGGATAGCAGGTTTGGGTCTCTCCTTTCACCAGATTGTTTCTATGTTCTTGCCTTTATTTACTGTACCGTAGACTGAGCAGTGACCAAGTATGGAAAGAAACCAAAAGCAGTAAAAAAAAAACACACTGTACAATAAGAGACATAGTACCACAATGGCTGCATATCTGGATTTTGAAATTACTGAATAAAAATAAACTAACCCAACCCTAACCCTAATCCTAAACTGTATACTTATAGGATTATGATAGTATTAAATATGAATGAGGAAAGATTTACCTGGTCCTAGCCTCATGATCTTGGGAACCAATCCTTTGTACAAAGCTAGATATCTGAAGAAAAATAATGAAAAATGTCTTAATTTAAATATATAAAATAGAGTATATTTCTTCTATCGCATGGGACAATGCATGGGAAAAGTTATATGAATTAACAAACATATACAATGTCTGGATTTTAAAGTCTTAAGACCAGAATAAATAGCTGATTAACGTTCAGCTCCACCTATGCTGCTTTTCCTCCCAAACATGACTTTTGCCAGGAAACTTGGTTAATAGCACCACATTTGCACTATCATGTCTATTAGAGTTGTGCACACTTCCCAAATGATTACAAAAAATTACTTCCATTCCCACATGACCCTTCTGCTCTTCACTAAGGCAGCCCAACTGTTTTCAGGTTTCTGAGCAATTCTGAAAAAAAAAATGATGCTGCTACTTTAAGGACTTATTAAAACTAAATCCAATTCTTAGAAGTAGTAGCATTGTCCTTCAGGCTTGTGGGGAAGACTGAAGAAAATTGGGCTGTATTCTTGTCTACCTCTGCAGGAAAGGATGCTGAGAATGCAGAGTTGCTTCAGAATCAAAGTGGGGAGGGGGAGAGAAGTGGAAAGCTTGATTTCAACTGGCTAGAGGAAACCATGAGAAATGGGGTAGTATATATGTTGAGAGTTCTTTACTGTTAGTTACCTTGATCAGTTTTTTTAACTGACCATCAATCTACTTGCAACAAAACTTAGTCTTAGGTGTGTTATATGCATCCTTGAGAAGACAACAGATACTGAGTTCCTGACAGAATATTTTAGTGAATAGTGGAGAAGGGTCCTCATGCAAGGTTGAAAGCATTTCTTTTCTAGCCTTTTTGAGGCATGCACAGTCCTTTAACTGTGTTATACAGTAACTGAGTTCTCACTTTAGACTATTTACATACATAACGTTTGGAATCCTGATGCCATATAGATCCCATGAGTAAGATCTCATACTGGATCAATTGTATAGCAGTTCATTAAACAAGCAGATGTTTGCATTCTCATTCCTCTATTCAGGCTAAGATATAATATTTAATAAAAAAATATATAATTGCATAAAAAATAGAAAAGTGGGAGGAAGTGTGGCATTCTCTGAAGTATTTCTTTGGATGACTCTGATCCTTCTGAAGTTTGATGCAATACCCTTTTTGATATATATAACACATCTTTTTCTGTTCATTCCATATAGCTTGCATCCAGAAATAATCAGGTTCTCTTCAACCTATCAGTTTTCATCGTGCCTTCTAGATTTCCTTTAAAACCAAATATTCTTGCATCTTGGCCTCCACTAACTGCAGTTTGCAGAGACCTCTGTGTGCTTTTCTCTGTTCTGATAGAAGCTGACAAATTGTCTTTCCTCAGTCCCAGTTTGGGCAATCAGAATCTTTTTAGTATTTACAAGTGAAGCAATTAAATATAGGCTATGTTGATTCTGGAAAAAAAAAAATACACCCCCCCCCCCAGCACTAACTGATACTAAGTTGTATAAATTGAAACAGTCTGCTATAGATATGCTGGAGTCTTTTCAGAACAATATAATAAGAATTTGTAAATGGAAATTCAGGAAACTCAGACAAAAGAAGAATTCTCTTTTAATTTCACATGTACATTTTTGAATTGTGAAGCTTTGAAAACTTCTGATACACAAATACTACGCAGAGTGATTTTTAGGGGCCCGATCAGATCTGAAATATAACAATATGATTTTATGAACAAACCAGAGCCCTGGACATTTATTACTGAAATGAACACTTTACCCTTCTTCTTTATAAACGGTTGCCATAGTTTTAAAACAGGTCCTGTACTTGATTTCTCCAGGAACTGGCTGTGGTCCTTGAATCCTACTCTTTGCAACATCAAAAGGGATGTTAATAATTGAGGCTATTGTTCCTGAGACCAGTCCAATTCCAAACTTTCTGAGAAACTCCAAGGTTGGGTCCTGGATAAACAAACAAGGAAACTAATAAAATAGCCGAGAGAAGAGGAGGGGAAAAAAGGGTGGGGTGGAGTTGGGGAGGAAATGACTGACATAAAATGAACAGAGTTAAAATAGGAACAGAAGCACCTCAATTGGTTAAAGACTATGAAGTAATATGTATTTAATCAGAAAGCTTGCACGATACGACACACTCCTGCTAGTCTAGTGGAACACATTAGGGTTTCCTATGCCAGGGCTCCCTTTCTTGACAATCCGATTGGCTATGTTTTTACACATGGTCTAAATTGCTGAAGCACACATTTCCTCACACAGGATTTATAAACACAGTTCATAAAAGCAAGACCAGTACAGCATATGGGGATGATTTGTATAATTGAGCTTCACAATGTACTTAGTATTACTGTATCAAAACGGGAGAAATCTAAGCACACTATTAGCTAATTGGCCGGAATATTTTACAAATGACAGCAACTTCCACCATGAAGCCTACTAAAATGCTCATTTGTGCACTGGACCCCCAAATGTTAAATTAAATAAAGGCTAATCTCAGTCTGCAGCTTTCCCCCTCCAGGTTTTTTTACATTTAGCTTCACGTGTAGTTGATGTACTCTACTGAGGGGGCCTGCCTTCCTGCTAGTAACAGTCCAGGAGCAGTGGAACTGCCGAGCAGACTTCTATGCCCTTCCACATTAGGAACAGTAATAACTCCCTAAGCTAATTGGCTGAAGAATGTACAACACGTTGTGCCCAAAGCCTACATTTTTGCCCTGCTTTTAAAAAGGGAGAAACTAGTTGGACAGTAAAGCCAGTCTTGAAACAACAGCTTTCTGTATGTGCTGACACAATCCAACAGTTCATGCTCCCTCAGATGGCCTTCCTGCCCAGGACATTAGTTCACTGGAGAGTAAAATTCACTTAATAATGTTTTAATTGCATATGTGTGAATACTGAAAGCTGCAAGTGAATTCGGTCATGCTGAATTTCCTGTGGAGCTTATTACACAACTTTAAAAAATTATTTTTCCATTTCATGCCATCCAATACCGAAAAGCCCCTACATGTCTTTAGAACGTATGGTGTAATTTGCTGCATGAAGATCCTTCAGTGCAATCCTTCCCAACCTGGTGCCTTTCCAGATGGGTTGGACTCCAGCCCACATTTCCCTATGTGACCACATCAGTTGGAGCTGATGAGAGCTGTAGTCCATAGAAACTGAAGGGCACTGGGCAGAGAAAAGCGTCTTAGAGACAACAGCGTAAATGCAGAAGCCTCATGGAGGAGGATGCCAGATTTAGTGTGCTCCTCAACTCTGAAAAGCTGAACAAACATGGACAATCCTTAAAGTTCAAACCAAACACGTCTTTCATATTAGTATCATTTGGGTTTAGAAATACTATGCCAGATAACTTCTAAAAGACACCTACAAATGGATCTATGAGTACTAGAATTTGTACTTCCAGGATTCAAGTTTTAATGCCCTGACCCATGGGGACATGGCTTCAATTCAAAATCCATCTTGTTTTCAGGAATCAAATATACTGCCTGCTTTCCAGAACTTCCTATATGAAGGTCCCACGTCCTGTTTATTTCTCTCTGTGGGCATAGCAACAGTTTCACTATTCCAAAAGAAATATTCTTATACTGAATATAACACAGTGCAATTATAGGTTAAAGGTTAAATATAGGTTAAAGGGTATTTGGAGTGCAAACACTAACATTTGCTTGATGTACTCATTTGTGGCCCTGGTGAAGTCCATTTGTTCACAGGTACATTAACTTCTCTTACGTAAAATTGTAGTGTAGTAAAAAATGTCCACCTCTATGCACTCTGTAGCCTTAAGACAAGCCATTTGCCCTCTTAGATCAACACTGCACTTCCAAGAGCAGCCAACTAAATGTCTTGAACATGTTTGTTTATATTATCTGTATTTATAATTTCAATTTCCAAGGCTGCTCACTTGCCGATGGCCCTGGGTGACTTAAAGGAGGTTAAAAGAAATAATAGCAACCAGTTACAAGAATAGTAAAAAATTGTCATGTCAGGAGAAAAAAAATTAAACCATATCAATTCAAATGGTGGATTCAAATCACGTCCTGGCCCAGTGCCTGTGGAAAGAGTCAGGTTTTTGAGGTTTTCTTAAAGGACAGCAGGGTGAGAGTCATTGGGACCTTGGGTTTAGACATAAGAGATGAGAGCACCATTATTCCCCTTGGAAGTTCCATTGGGCCAACAAAGGAGATGGGCCAGCTTTGGAAAAATGGAAGCTATGGAGGGAATTGTGTCTCACCTGTAGTATTCCCAGTTTTTTCAACTGATTGAAAAAAGTTGGAACCACATCCGTGCCTCAGAAAAGTCATCTAGCGAGTTTAAAATAGGACACATACCTTATTGGCAGGAATGATGTTTTTCACATTGAAGTAGAATCCAAAATAGACCATATTAAAAACTCCATGACGTCCCAAAGTAGCAGGCAGCCCTTTGTTGAGTCCACTCAGACCCCATCCATTGGTCTGAATAATTTGGTGAGCTTTAGCAAAGGTGGATGGTTGCTATACAAACAAAACAATAGATAAAATGCCTCTATAAATATTTCAATAGAGTGCACAACTGGCTTAAAATCACTCAAGTGAGCCTCCATATCTGAGAATGGACTTGAATCTGGATCTCCCTAGTCTTAGTAGAATCTTTTAATTACTAATGCAAACTATACTACACCACACAACTATACTGCCTCCAGAACTCCTCTAAAACCAGTTGCTGAACTATAATTTTTAATAGAACAGAAAGAAAAAGAATAGAATATGAGGGAGGAATAACAGTAACTGAGTAATGTAATTTTAATTAAATGCAACTTTAAATCATTTTTTATTTTGGTCCTGACTCCACTTCTTTTGAAGTATGCTCCCCTCTACCCACTGCAGTTTTGGCCAGCTGCAGTTTTGGCCAAATGGCCTGAAAAAAATGTGCATCCAAAAATTTGCCAAACCATTCTGCCATCAGAAATAGGATTCCAGTCCTGCCATAAAAGGAAAGGAATGACTTGTATGGATTTCATGCACACATTATTGTGCAATATCACACTGATAGAAGAGCTAGAGAAATATTATGCTGCCAATACATGACAGTCAGGATATTCTGCCAACATATTCCATAGTTTACTTGCATGAGATAGACATACAGATGGACCAACAGCAGTGAATTGTCTCCATAAGATGGGGCTACCTGTCAATTAGTTTTCAGCATCCTTATTAGAAGCTTTCATACCATTAACCACAACTTGGTTAACTAACCTGCCCTAGAATTTTTCCATATCTTTCAATCAGGCATGAGGAACATATGGCTCCAGATGTTGCAGAACTGCATCTAATTCAGAAACACCTGAAGGGCCATAGTTTCTATTCCTGTTTTAGATTAACCAGCCTTATAATATTCAAAAAGAAGAGAAGGCTACTTCTGCACAAATGTTACCCCATATTCATCACCTTTGCAGGGGGAACTTGCGATCTTTTACATCAAGATCAAAGGTCTGAAGAAAACTTTCTACCTAAGTATTTTTACCTTAAGGTTCTAAGTAGCCTCTATGCAGTTATAAGTATATGAATGCCTGAAACTCCTTTTAATGGGCCATAGAGGTTAGTGGTGGCACTAATCTTCTCCTTCCTTTCACATATCTATTTTGAAAGCTCAAAGCAGGCCTATCATGAGCATGAATTTTTGAAATTCTTATTTAAACCATAGCAGATTTGTAATTCCAAGGAAACATGCTAGGCTTCCTAGGTAATTATTTCTAACCAGTAAATCTAAATATTCTTAAACTTGTTTATGTACTACAAACTCCAGTCAGACAAGGATACTTTGGACAAGAGACTGTGCATTTCAATGAATATCACTTTCTAGCTTACATACATACATACCCACACTATTATTTTTTTTGGAGTAAACTATGTTAAGCAAAGCACAGAGTCAGAAATAATAAGCCAAATAAATTAAGCCATGAGATGAGAAAAAGAGAAGAAAATATAACTACCGGTAAATCTAATTTAACGAGCACTATTCATTACATCTCTCCACACCTTTCTCTCCTTACAAGCCATCCTTGCTTTCTCCACATCCAGACACCACTTTGTATATTGGTTTTTGTTCTTTAAACTTCTTATACCTCTCACAATAACGCACCCACATTCACAACTGATGCCAACCAACATGTCTTTAATGTCACCACAGACATTACATATACATTTATTATTAAATACATTAAAACAACCAAGGGAGCATCACACATCATTATCTTACTCTGTGTTCAGTATTGAATCTTTCACTCTCCATTTATTCTCACATACAGCATGCTTTACTTCCATCATATGCAGCTTTTATCATATATAGAAACCGCAATAGAAGAGAATATATGTAGCTCAGGGCCGAACTGTGGAGTCCTTGGTGCTCTCTGAGCTTGGTTGTTTGCTTGCAGACGTTTCATTACTCAATTAGGTAATATCATCAGTGTTAATGAGTGTGGGGTTTGCTCCCTGTTTATATACAGTAGCTTGCCCTGCCTGTTTTGGTGCGGGTGTGGTTGTCTCCTTGGTAGTTCCTTGATTAGGGTATTGTTTTCTGCTTGTTTGTCTGGTGTTAATCCCTGCTTATCTGGGTGTTGGCTGCTGGAGAGAATACGTTCTGGTCTTTTTGTTTCCTTAGCTTTTTTATTGTCTCTTTTGAATGATGGGTAAATATGGTTTATTTCTATGTGTCTATTGATAGTTGATTTGTCTGAATGTCAAACTTCTGTTAAGGTATATTCATAAGGAAGTTTTACTGTGTGAATAACACAAGGCAAACAATGTAGCTGGAGCTCATGGCTAATGAACTGATTGCCTACAACTGATGAATACTGACTCAGCACAGTGTAAGGGATATAAGCAGCATGCGTGGAACATATGCCTGCTGCGTGTTTCTGAGTGCTGTGGAGTGTTGTAGGTTAGTAGCCTGGCATAAAGTGCTACTCAAACAACTTCCAGGAATTCTCTAGTGTTTTTGGATTTAGCTTGATGTAGGATGCTCACAGTTTCCCAGCTGAAACTCTGTCCATGTGCTGGGAGATTAAGGAGTTTTCATCATGTCTTCTTGTCTAGTTGGTGTTCATGGATGTGCTCTGCTAGTCTTCTGCCTGTCTGTCCTACAGAGTGGCTGTTACAGTCCTTACGCTGTATGTTATAGATGCCTCCTTTTTTTTCTTCTTCTTGGGCCACTGGCTCTTTTGGTTTACTTGAGATGTTTTGGAGGGCTTTACATTGTACATGCTACAGTGATGCCATGTGGTTGCAATAGTCTCTTGGCTGTTTCTGAGACGTTTCTGATGTATGGCAGTGTTATCCTTTTCATAGCTTGTGTTGGTTGT